TAGGGTTTAGGGTTTAGGGTTTAGGGTTTAGGGTTTAGGGTTTAGGGTTTAGGGTTTAGGGTTTAGGGTTTAGGGTTTAGGGTTTAGGGTTTAGGGTTTAGGGTTTAGGGCGTCTCGCCGCGCAGCGGCAGTAAGTACCATGTGTAAATGGCGCCCCTACACACCCAAAGGGTGTGGGGGGGCGGCATGTCACGCGAAGGCATCTGTTTTCAATGTAATCCAACAATTTCATTGGTGCTGGGTTCTTTCTCCCCACCCGCTGTGAGCTTTCACAGGCCACCACCCAAACCACTACCTTTTAGGGTTTAGGGCTGTCGCCCTCAATTCCCACCATGAAAACGATTCAAATCTCGATGAAACCAAACATTTTTGTGCAGACAAAGGACGAAGCCGGGGAAGGGCCGGGGGGGGGGGGGGGGGAGGGAGGATCGGGGGCCAGGGCAGGCCCAGGCAGGGGGGGGGGGGTCAGGGGGGGGGGGGGGGGGGCGGGGGGGGCAGCGCGGGGAGGAAGAAACCCTTTTGGGCTCGGGGGGGTACCCCCCCAGGGAAACGTCCTCCGAAGGATTCCGGCGCGGGCTTTAGGGTATTCTCATCAAGAGGAGGATCCTGACTAGGTTCCCCTTGTAAATATAAGGCACCACGTAAGTGGTCCTAAAGCAAGGCTCAGCCCTAGGGGCTGTATTCGACCACTCTCCAATGTCACCACCCATTGTCCATCCAGTAAAGGTGTATCTCGCTGCCGGGTATAATTCTGGGTCCAGGCACCCTAGAAAAGGGTGGGTACGGCCTAAGCAGGCCGGGTGGGAATTTAGGGTTTAGGGTTTAGGGTTTAGGGTTTAGGGTTTAGGGTTTAGGGTTTAGGGTTTAGGGTTTAGGGTTTACGGCTCAGGGTTCAGGGTTTAGGTTTTAGGGTTTAGGGTTTAGGGTTGAGGGCTTAGGGCTTAGGGCTTCCGGGGGATCGGAGCAAGTCCTAGAAGTTCCGGTCTACAGGGTTTGGGGGATGTTTGGGGTTTAAGGCTGCGGGTTTCAGGGTTGTAGGGTGCAGCCCGCAATCCGAACAGAAAGCTCAACAGCTGCCGTTTAGGGAATTTTAGGGTTTCGAGCTAAGGGACTGTATACTGCAAGGATTTAGGGTTTCGGATGTTGAGCGATTGGTGGAAGCTTCACAGTGCTAGCTTGCCCGGCAACGCAGGGCCACCCCCCCTCGTTTTTCGTGAACATACAACAGCAGCCACAACCAAGCGACAGAGGGTACCAACCAACCCCCCCCCCCCCCCCCCCCCCGAAAAAATGCTCGCAACTGAACCTGCTCATCCGAAACCCTGAAGCCCCAAACCGTTCTTCAAGAAGAGCGCAAGACCTACAGCCCCAAACTTGGGATGTTCCACCTTATACTTGCAGTCCTTCACAGGGATTAGAGTACACCCCCCCCCCCCCCATATTATAATCCCTATTACGGACTGTTAGCTAAAGGAGGAGCATCCCAACCCTAAACCCTAAACCCCTTAACCCCTTAACCCGTAAAACCCCTAAACCCCCAAACCCTAAACCCGAAGCCCTAAACCCCGAAACCCTAAACCCCTAAACCCTAAACCCTAAACGCCGAACCCTAAACCCTAAACCCCGAAACCCTAAACCCTAAACCCCGAAACCCTAAGCCTTTGTTCAAGAACAAAAGAGCCCGCGGACCTCGTGGAAGAACCCCAGGCTGGCAAAGGCCCCCAAGACTTCCTGGGACGCCCGCCCTGGTTTAAGGTTTAGGGTTTAGGATTTAGGGTTTGGGGTTTAGGGTTTAGGGTTTAGGGTTTAGGGTTGGGGATTGGGGGTTGGGGGTTGAGGGTTTAGGGTTTAGGGTTGAGGGTTTAGGGGGGTTTAGGGTGCAGGGTCTGCGCATCATGCCCAACTTGCGCTTCTGAAACTCAACTTGGGAATTCTAAATTTCAACGATTGGGACAATCATGTTCCACGTTTCCTTGGGAGCTAGGGGAAAGGGTCAAGGGTTCAGGGTGTAGGGTTGAGGCTTTGGGGCTCAGGGCTCATAGGCTTTCGGGCTTAGGGTTGAGGGGTAGGGTTCAGAGTTTAGGGTTTAGAGTCTGGTGCATCCCATAGGCCCCCATCTGCACAGGCGTGAAGGAGCCAATCTCGTTGGACGCATGGCTGGCGAACTTCTCCAGCCCTGGCAAGCATTGCCGGGCTTTCGAGTTTAGGGTTTAGGGTGTAGGGTTTAGGGTTTGTGGGTCCAGGCTTTAAGGCTTTAAGGTGTTGGGGCTTGTGGGTCTAGGGTTTTGCGCTTTGGAGATTGCAGGGCTTTTCCAGGCGTGGGGGGGAAGGGGGGCGCATGGAGAGCAGGCTTCTTAGTGGGCAAGTGTCATTTCTTAGTGGGCAATCGTGATTTCGAGCAGGTAATTGCAAAAAACAAATGCCCACTAAGATATGACAATTCCCCAGTAAGAAACGACAATTGCGCGCTAAGACATGACAATTGCCCACTAAGCAATGACAATTGCCCACTAAGAAATGACAATTGATCACTAGGACATTAGGATTTAAACATAGCTGGCCTTCGAGCAAGCTTCGAGTTCTTAGAATCGAAGAGATCCGTGGCGGAGCTGGCCGAATACGGCCTAGCCCTTGTCGTCGGCATAGGGCCGGAGGACCGTCTTGTGAGTCCAGCCTCTTCATCGACGGTTGCCTCCGTGTGTAAGCGAGCCTAATAATCTGCACCGGCGGTAGTGATGGCCGTGCCAAAAGTGCCCGAAGAAGAGGCGCTCTGTCCGGAATTTTGCACGCCATTGGTGTAGCTACGCAACGAGTCTCACGCCGCGCAAGCGCTCCTGCGCGATCGTGTGGGCCGCGCCGGCGGCTCACGACCGGCGGCGCGAGCGACATCCTAATCGGCGTGCCCGGTACACGTGACGCCCTCGACATTGCACAGACCGAGGCTGCCACTTCGAAAGCGCACAATTACGGCAGAGCGAAGCAATGAGCTATGACTCGCTCTATCAAACCTCGCTGAGTTTCTCGCGCGGTATGTCCGCCATGAAGCAACAGACAAGCTGAAGCTGAGAGAGGAACCACAAAGGGCAAGCGGATGAAACGGCCGTTGAATCCGCAGAGGTCGATCGCGTCGTCTCGATCCTCCTGCTCGACCAGCTCCACAGCCTGCAGGACAGAGTTTGTCAGGGTGAGGCTTCGGCCGTTCATGGCCGCCGCGCCTCTTCCATGCACCCTGTTGCATGTAAGAGCACTTCGGCCCAAGGATGACTGGGCATCGTGCTCTGGACAACAAAGTTTATGCCCAGCAGAGCCTGCCAATCTCCCACGCGAGAAAAACAAAACAAAGGCGCGCACTCCTCGCAGGGCTGCGTGGTCCGGCCGTCTCAGCATTGCTGACGGAATAGAGGGGCTGTGCATTGCCTCGCTTCCCCAGGCGTGCGACGGGGTCCAGGATGGGCTGACTCAGCATCAGCAGCACTCGCAGCTCCCACCACCCCCTTCGGTGGAAAGCTGTCTGCTGAAACCATGACGGCTGAGCTCTTGAGCTGCTTGATAGCACGTCTTGTATGTTTACAGTCTAGAGGATGCCAGAAGTGGACACGGATTGCATCTCACGGTGCTCCGACGATCACAGCAGGACCGGGCTCGAGCGCCCCAGCCCAAACGGTGATGACCTGCCTCACGCGCCGGCCCATCGAATTGTTAAAGGATCTGTGAATCTAAATAACCTACATGTTGCATCAAAGCAGCTGTTCGCAGTGATGTGAGTGAGAGCTGCTTGGAACATTGCCGATGGCAGAGCTCACTTAACAGGCAATGAGGTAAGCCTCTGCACAAAATGGCGGACCTTATGTCGAGCATGGACGTTAGGCACACTCCGCCCTATCTCACGGTTAGGGGTTCAGGGGTTTTGGCTTATGGGGTTCAGGCGGCGACGGGTCTAGGGCTTGAGGCATTAGGGTTCAGAGGTTTGAACCCTAAACCCTGCTCTGGAGCCCGCAAACTTTTGGGTGCCCCTAAACCCCTAAACCCCTACACCCCTAAACCCCTAAACCCCTAAACCCCTAGACCCCTGAACCCCTGAACCCCTGAACCCCTAAACCCCTAAACCCCTAAACCTCTAAACCCCTAAACCCCTAAACCCCTAAACCCCTAAACCCTTAAACCCCTAAACCCTAACCCCTAAACCCTGAACCTTCCTAAACCCTAAACCCTAAACCCTAAACCCTAAACCCTAAACCCTAAACCCTAAACCCTAAACCCTAAACCCTAAACCCTAAACCCTAAACCCTAAACCCTAAACCTTCCTAGACCCTAGGCGACAGGGTGCCTTCTGTGGACTTCGGATCCCCCTTCCAGCTAAGCTTGGCTTCTGCAAAGGTCTTGAGCACCTCAGTGGGCGGCTTAGGGTTTAGGGTTTAGGGTTTAGGGTTGAGGGTTTAGGGTTTAGGGTTTAGGGTTTAGGGTGTAGAGTTTAGGGTTTAGGGTTTAGGGTTTAGGGTTCAGGGTTTAGGGTTTAGGGTTTAGGGTTTAGGGCTGAAGGGTGGGTTCATAGGGCTCAAGTTCAGGGGGGCTGGTGGGGTTCAGAGGTTGGTTGAAGGTTGAGGATTCAAGAGAGTTCACAGGGGGTGGAGGGTGTTTAGGGCACAAGTGTCGGAGGGCAAGGGGTGCAGAAGGTGTATTCTAGGTTTCTTGCACTTAGAAGGCTGATGGGGGGTATAGCAATCTGTGTTTGGCTTTCTTTCTTTTTCTTGTGGGGGGGGGGGGGGGGTCCATAGAAGGCCTCAAGCGCTAAAACACGGGAGAAGCTCCTAAGCGCCTCAGATCACAAGTGCAAAACAGTTGAGGTTTCAGGGGTTCGGGTTTCGGGTTTGGGGTTTCGGGTTTAGGGTTGAGGGTTGAGGGTTGAGGGTTGAGGGTTGAGGGTTTAGGGTTTAGGGTTTAGGGTTTATGGTTTAGGGCCTAGGGTTTAGGGTTTAGGGTTTAGGCCCCAACTCCAGACCCTATGCCCGCACCTCGGCAATCTCCTGCCAGGGTCAGACGTGGGCGAGGTTGCATGGCATGGTCTCCGGTTTTTGGGGTTTAGGGTTTAGGGTTTCGGGTTTCGGGTTTCGGGTTTAGGGTTTAGGGTTTAGGGTTTCGGGTTTGGGTGCGCGGGCTAAACTCTAACCCTAAACCTTCGCTCGGGGCTTCATGAAGTTCAAGGTGGGGAAGGCCAAAACTATGTAGATGCAAGGTGTGTAGGATACCCTAAACCCTCCCACAACCCCTAAACCCTGAACCCTAACCTAAACCCTAAACCCTGAAGCGGGTTCAGGGCTTAAAGCTGAAGGCTTAGGGCTTAGGGTTCGCCAGCGCAGCCGGCGCCCCAAGCAACTCCCTCGTTCTTACTTCCAGAGAGAGAGAGAGAGTTCAAAAAATGTTTACAAAAAATGAAAAAGCCGCTCCCTGGGTCGCTGCCGTCCACGCGCTCAGCAAGATATACCCGCTCCGGAAGAAGCTAAGCGAACGCGCTCGCGCTCGTTCCCCCCGTTAGGGTTTAGGGTTTAGGGTTTAGGGTGTAGGGTGTAGGGTGCAGGGTGTAGGGTTTGGGGGGCATTTGGTGGGCAGTGCAATCACACTAGGCTCACTAAACTGCTCGCAGCAATCCCAGCAAAAACTCCCCTAACACTTTGTAATATTACAAGCACAAGCCCCTTTTTAAAACCCCAGAATCATATGAATATCACAGATCCACTCTGCGTACGCGGGGTTATACTATCATTACTGCACTCTTTTGACCCCGTGCTAACACTAAAATCCTGTGTGACGAGGTGAAGACACTTCCTGATGGTTAGTAGGGAATGAGGTACCCTGTATAACTCCTTAAAGGGTTTATACAGGGCCCTAATTCCCTCATTCCCTAAGAACCAACATTAAGTACATGAGCTTGCGAATGCATGAACTGCGTGAGCACCCCGACCCCCTCCAGGCTGACCCTTCAGCCCCCTGACCCCAAAACGCTAAATCCCTAAACCCTAAACCCTAAACCCTAAACCCTAAACCCTAAACCCGACCAGGGACATGTGGCATGCTCTGAGGGCCCACCACGCATCCGCCCTACAAGCCTTCGAACTTCCAAATAGCACTTGTGAGCCCTGTCAACCCCCCTAGAGTTCAGGGTTTAGGGCTTAACTAGAACTCTGAACCCCAAACCCAAAACCCAATACCTGAAAACCCAAAACCCCAAGCACCTTGAACCCAAAACCCTCAAACCTGCGCCCCTACACCAAATCCCTAAACCCGAAACGCAAACACACCCCCCACCCCCCTAAAAGCCATAACCCCTAAATCCTAAATCCTAAACCCTAAACCCTAAGCCCTAAACCCTAAGCCCTAAACCTATGCCTAAACCTAAACCCTAAAGCCCACACCGAAAATGAAAACACTTGCATAATGTTCGAAGCTTTCAAAGCCCGGCGTCCTCTGGTCTCATAAGGCCCGCGAGGTTGCCGCCGCGTTTCACGGCCTGAGCTGTCCAGGGGCTCTACAAACCCAAACAACAGCAGGGTTTAGGGTTTAGGGTTTAGGGTTTAGGGTTTAGGGTTTGGGGTTTAGGGTTTAGGGCTTAGGTTTGGGGTTTCGGGTCCGCTGTTTAGGGTGGGAGACCCCAGTTTGCAATGCAACCCCACATGGATAACCCGAAACCCTCAACCCTCAACCCTAAACCCTAAGCCCCCCCCCCCCCCTTCCCGCCTTGCGCCAAAAGGAGGCGGGAGCTCGACCCTGGGTCATGTAGCCTTGGCTCTTGCCAGAGTTGTGGGCTTGGGTTTAGGGTTTCGGGCTCAGGGTTTCGGATTTCGGGTTTAGGGTTTTAGGGTTTGGGGTTTAGGGTTTAGGGTTTAGGGTTCAGCATCTCAAGTCCAAGCATTCACTAGTCAAGACATTACTACAGAAAAATACCCACCCGCCCGAAGAATCCCACAACATTAAGAAAATATTTCACTTCTAGAACGACCTTGCCCAGTAAAAAAGATGACCTTGCCCAGTAAAAAAATGACCTTGCCCAGTAAAAAAATGACCTTGCCCAGTACAAAAATGACCTTGCCCAGTAAAAAATGACCTTGCCCAGTAAAAAAATGACCTTGCCCAATAAACAATGACCTTGCCCAGAAATGACCTTGCCCAGTAAAAAAATGACCTTGCCCAGTAAAAAGATGACCTTGCCCAGTAAAAAGATGACCTTGCCCAGTAACATTTTTACTGGGCAAGGTCATTTTTTAACTGGGCAAGGTCGTTTTTTTGGACGAAACGACCTTGCCCAGTAAAAAATGACCTTGCCCAGTAAAAAAAAATGACCTTGCCCAGTAAAAAAATGACCTTGCCCAGTAACTCGTTAACATTTAAATTATATATGAAAGAGAGGTTTAGGGTTTGGGGTTTAGGGTTTTAGGGTTTAGGGTTTAGGGTTTAGGGTTTAGGGTTTAGGGTTTAGGGTTTAGGGTTTAGGGTTTAGGGTTTAGGGTTTAGGGTTTAAGGTTTAGGGTTTAGGGCCCCCTAAAGTTTAGGGTTTAGGGTTTAGGGTTTAGGGTTTAGGGTTTAGGGTTTAGGGTTTAGGGTTTAGGGTTTAGGGTTTAGGGTTTAGGGTTTAGGCTGTAGGGCACTAAAGGGGCGTTCCAGGCTCCATAGACACGGGCTCAGGATCTCCGAAAACCCTAAAACCTCAATCTGCAAAATCCCCCAAACTCCCAAAACCTGCAAAACCCCGCACCAACAGCGCGAAACCCTCTCAACCCTAGCCCGAAACCCTAAACCCTAAACCCTAAACCCTAAACCCTAAACCCTAAACCCTAAACCCTAGGCCCCCGGGCCCGGGCGAAGGGCTCTCTTTAGCGTCCGCACCAGAGCAGTGCAGCCTCGCGGGCTAGGGTTTAGGGCTTTGGGTTTAGGGTTTAGGGTTTAGGGTTTAGGGCTTTGGGTTTTAAGGTTTTAGGGTTTGGGGGGTTGGGGTGTGGGGTTTTAGGGTTTAGGGTTAAGGGCTTTGGGTTTTAAGGTTTTTGGGTTTGAGGGTCTAGGTTTTGGGCTTTGGGTTCCTTGGCGGCTTGGGGCGCTTTTAGGGCTAGGGCTTGGGACTGGGGAGTTGCTTTTGGGCGGTTTAGGCTATGGTGTTGAGGCTGTAGAATTTAGGGTTTAGGGTTTAGGGCTTAGGGTTTAGGGTTTAGGGTCTAGGGTTTAGGGTTTAGGATTTAGGGTTTAGGGTTTAGGGTTTAGGGTTTAGGGTTTAGGGTTTAGGGTTTAGGGTTTGGGGTTTAGGGTTTAGGGTTTAGGGTTTAGGGTTTAGGGTTTAGGGTTTAGGGTTTAGGGTTTAGGGTTTAGGGCTTTCAGGGTTTGGGGGCTCGGGGGTTGCCTGTTTAGCATTCCCAGGGTTGGGCGTTTTTGGGGTTTAGGGTTTAGGGTTTAGGGTTTAGGGATTAGGGTTTGGGGGTTCAGGGTTTAGGGAGGCTTGGCTACTTTTTGGTGGGGGGGTTCCCTGGGGTTCCTTTGATGGCAAACCTTGGACCCGAAGCCCTAAACCGTCAACCCCAACCCTACACCCTACGGAAGCCACAAGTACAGGGGGTTTATGATTTAGGTGTAGGGTTTTGGGTCCTAAACCCTAAACCCTAAACCCCAAACCCCAAACCCTAAACCCCAAACCCCAAACCCAAAACCCTAAACCCCAAACTTGTTGGGGTTTGGGGCTTCGGGTTTCGGACCCTCAACCCCAAACCCGAAGAACGCCCTCACAGGGAACCTTGGACGTCGATGTGGTCGGCGGAGCGGCCCCGCAGGCGTTGAATCTCCTGTGGCGTCCTACTTGGAGGTTCATGGTACTTCTTAACCAATCATAACTGTGCTGATAACCCACTCATAAGCCCCCTTATGTGCCCTAATATGGTTATGAGTACAGGTATAAGTACAGTTGTAGTCATAAGTACCATGAACAGGTATAAGTGCAGTTGCAATTGGTTCATAAGTACCATGAGCCTCCAAGTAAGTTGCTAGGTGCGCATATCCAAGCCCTGAGCTGCAGCCATTTGTTGTGGGTTTAGGGTGTAGGGTTTAGGGTTTAGGGTTGCTGGGTGTTTTGGGTTAGTTTTAGGGCTGCGGGTCGTTAACGTGCCCTTGGCTGAGAAAAGCCTCAATCTTAAACCCTAACCCAAATCCTAAACCCCGTATCTTACACAATTCTTGGCCGAGGGTTGCGGGGGTTTCTCCTGCCCTATACCCTAAGCCCTAAACCCGAAACCCCAAACACTAAACCCTAACCCTAAGCCCTAAACCCGAAACCCTGAACCCTAAACCCTGAACCCGACACCCAAAATCCTGGCCCGGGCCTGCCACCCCTTGTGCGGGCTGCTTGAGGGAGTGGAGGGAGTTGTTGGCACCTGGAGAGACAAAAAAAACTTTGGGCAGTTCTCTAAATAGAAAAAAAACTTTGGGCGGTCCTTGCGGGCCTAATATAGTACGGCACTCCGGTAAAAAAGACAGGAAGGAAGGAGGCTGAAAGTGAAACACTAGACCCAAGTCCCAAAAAGTCTAAACCCCAAACTCCTACACCCTGAACATTAAACCCTAAAACCCTAAAACCTCCCTAACACCCTAAAACCCTAAAACCCTAAAACCCTAACACCCTAAAACCCTAAAACCCTAAAACCCTAAAACCCCTAAAACCCCTAAAACCCCTAAAACCCCTAAAACCCCTGAACCCTAGAACCCTAGAACCCTGAAACCCTGAAACCCTAAAACCCTAAAACCCTAAAACCCTAAAACCCTAAAACCCTAAAACCCTAAAACCCTAAAACCCTAAAACCCTGAAACCCTGAAACCCGGAAACCCGGAAACCATAAACCCTAAACCCTAAACTCCAAACTCAAACCCCAAACCCTAAACCCTAAAACCCTGAAACCCTAGCACCCTAAACCCTAAACCCGAAACCCTAAACCCTAAACCCTAAACCCTGAACCCTGAACCCTAAACCCTAAACCCTAAACCCCAAACCCCTAAACCCTGAACCCTAAACCCTGAACCCTAAACCCTAAACCTTGACTAGCCGCAGGGATCCATCGCTCCGGCGTGCGCACCAATGCCGAGCCCCTTCGCCGGGCACCTCGGACACTTTGCCAGAAACTGGTTCTCTAAATCAGGGTTTAGGGTTTAGGGTTTAGGGTTTGGGGTTTAGGGTTTAGGGTTTAGGGTTTACGGTTTAGGGTTTAGGGTTTAAGGTTTAGGGTTTCTCAACCCACAAAGCCCGAAACCCTGAGCCCCGAAATCCGTGCAGGTGGGAGGCCCGCGAACAGCCGCGCACTGGGCTTTGACAGGGCCGTGAAAGGGAGCGAAGCCATGGTAGAAAGCCAAAAGCTAGGGTTAGGATTTAGGGTGTAGGGTGTAGGGTGTAGGGCTTAGGGTTTAGGGCTTAGGGGCTTGGGTTTAGGTTTAGGGTTTAGGGTTTGGGGTTTAGGGTTTAGAGACCCTGAGCCCTTACCCTGAAAACCGAGACCCTCCACCGAACCCTGAAGGGTCCATACCCCAAACTCTTAGGGTAGTTGCATGGTCCCTTTGAATGGAGACCACCGTATTTTTCCCCTATGAAGGCTAAGGGCCCCATTCTTCGGAACCCTTTGAAGAAGAAGGTAAGGGACCGCATACAGGAACCATGTAGCTGCCCCTAAGTAGGGTTTATGGCTTAGGGTTCAGACAAGCTCCAAAACCCCAAGCCTATAGACGGCTTCGGGAGCATTCCAAGGGTTTCGGCTTCGAGGTTGAAGCCTGGATTTAGTGTTTAGGGTTTAGGGTGTAGGGTTTAGGGTTTAGGGTTTAGGGTTTAGGGCTTGGGGTTTGGGGTTTGGGGTTTAGGGTTTAGGGTTTAGGGTTTAGGGTTTAGGGTTTAGGGTTCAGGGTTTCGGGTTTAGGGATTAGGGTTTAGGGTTTAGGGTTTAGGGTTTAGGGCTTCAAGTCCCCAGAAATGTTGTGGTTCCAGCTGAAGGGTTTAGGGTGGGGATGTGATGGTTCCCCTTATACTAACAGTCTGTAATAGGGAATAGAGTCCCCCCTACTGCAATCCCTATTAAGGACTGTTGGTATAAGGGATAACATCCCAAGTTTAGGGTTTAGGTCTTATGGGTTTGGGGTTTAGGGCTTCAGGCTTAGGGTTTAGACGGTTTGGGGGTCTGATTTAGGATTCAAAGGCTTAGGGTTTAGGATACCTTGAGGCAGAATTGAAAGCCCTTAACGCTTGAACCTTAAATTCTGAAGGATGTGCTTCAGGGGGGGGAGGCTGGGATCCCATTTTCTGTCTGCGTTCGGGAAGCTCTGACAGGGATTCGGGTTAAGGGTTGACACCCAAACCCTAACTACTATAGGGGCCTGAAACAGTAGGGGTTTTGGAGAACTTTAGTATACTCATATAGGGATCAGAAAGGAATGCTATTAATTAGTGGTCATTCCGACCCCTACCTTCTGCCCCCCCCCCTCCGCAAGTCAGGGTGTGCAAAGACCCCCTCTGAACAGCCCCGCGAATCAAAGATCCCCAGCCCAAACCGCAACAGCCACGCTAAACCCTAAACCCGAAACCCTAAACCCTAACCCCCAAACCCTAAGCTGTGAACCCATTCCTAAACCTTTCCACCCCTGGCCCACTACCGCGCTCTTGCGCGGACACCGCATGTTTTTCTCAGGGTTTCAGCACTTCGGCAAACCGGGTTTGGGACAGCTTTCCGGTGGCGGTGGGCTACCTAGGGGTTGACGTCCTTGAAGGCACACTATAGAGTTTAGAGTTTAGGGTTTAGGGTCTAGGGTTTAGGGTTTAGCCGATTAAGATATACGTTCTGTAACAAGCCTTGGGTCAACCGTACGGATGCCCCTGTGGTACTTCTTCCCAAAACAGGGGTACTCCTGAGATCATGCACCAAGATGCGACGATTCGAAACCCCCCCCCCCCCCCCCAAAAAAAAATAAGCCTCCTGTTGCAAGAGCCACCTGAAACTGTCCCGAGTTGAGACTCCTAGGATATTTATTTACATGGTCCCTTGGTCTGGTCCCTTACTTGGGAAACCCATTTCTACCCCATATATATATATATATATACATATATACATACATACATATAAATATAAATATAAATATAAATATAAATATAAATATAAATATAAATATAAATATAAATATAAATATAAATATAAATATAAATATAAATATAAGTGTATATATATATAATACCCTACAAGTAAATTGAAGGGCCCATACTCCAGAAAAGGGACTTCCTTTACTTGGAGGTTCATTGTACTTATCGCCCCAATTAGGGTTTAAAATTTTGGCTTTAGGGTTTAGGGTCAAGGTACTTATAGCCCCAATAATAAGTCTACTTATAACCTACTTAGAGGACTTGGGGGGCTTATAATTACAGCTATTTTTGGTTAATAAGTACCCATGAACCTCCAAGTAGAGGCAGCCAGATTCCGCGACACTATGGCGTGCCTTGCACAACTGGCGGAAATGGGAACGCCGCGAAATTTCCGATTGCCCACCGGAGTTTCGGAAGGGACTTTTTCGTGCCTAAGGCTTAAGGCCGTTTCTCCAGGGTTTGGGGTTTAGGCTGTCGGGATCTTCGGAGATAGGTTTCGTGTTAAGATCTCGCAGCGGAATTCGGATGCAAGGAAACTCTCGAAACGTGAAGATGATGGGTTTGGGCTTGCAGGCCCTCCAACCCGTAAACCCTGAACCCTACACCCTAGAACCAAAATCATCCAGCTCTTGGGAGAGGGGATTGCGGCCTCAGAACCAATAGCAGGACCCGGGCCTGGAAAAACTCAGCACTGGCACTGGCCCTGGGACGCTTGAGAGCGCTCAGATTTCAGGGCCAAACCCTAAACCCCAAACCCTGCTTTAGTCGATGAAACCCAAGCTCTAAATCCCAAAACTTTCCAATCGAGCTGACAGCTGGGTGGCTTGGGGTTCCCAGACATGTTTGGTTCGGGCGCTGAGGTGCTGAGCTGCTGAGGCTTAGCTGATTCTTCAGTTTTCCGTCCGACTGCCTTGTCACAGAAGGGAAGGAGGAGAGCCGCAGCCGCAGCCAGCAGCAGCGTTTCTTAAAAGGGTTGAGCCACCAATTCACGAGGGCGCCGTGCCCCTAAACCCTGGTGGCTTCGGGCTCTATGCACACATGTCGGGTGCAAAGGTTGGGGCACCCTAAACCCTAAACCCTAAACCCTAAACCCTAAACCCTAAACCCTAAACCCTAAACCCTAAACGTCATCCCCCCAAGGAGGACGCGCCGCCGCGCTGGCGCCGCCTCCCGAGCTCTCGGATCTGCCCAAGGCGCGCGAGGCCGCGAGACGGCTGGCCTGCACTTGGAGGCTCAGTAACTAGTTATAGGTTTAGGGTTTAGGGTTTAGGGTTTAGGGTTTAGGGTTTAGGGTTTAGGGTTTAGGGTTTAGGGTTTAGGGTTTAGGGTTTAGGGTTTAGGGTTTAGGGTTTAGGGTTTAGGGTTTAGGGTTTAGGGTTTAGGGGTACTTATGAACCAAGTAGAACTGTACTGCTAACCCACTTACAAGCCCCTTAAGTGCCCTAAGATGGTTACAACCTACAGAAATATAAGTACAGTTATGATTGGAGGTTCATGGTACTTTTGAGCCAATCATCAGTGTACTTATATTTCTGTACTTAGTAACCATCTTAGGGCTCTTAAAGGGGCTTATTAAGTGGGTTATCAGTACAGTTCTACTTGGTTAATAAGTACCATGAACCTCCAAGTGCAGGCGACTGGAAGATCGGTTTGGAATCGCTTTTCGGGGGGCGGAGGGTGGATTTTCATGTTTCAGGTTTAGGGTTTGGGGTTTAGGGTTAGCTCTTATCCAGCTAGCTCGAGTCTCTCTAGAATTTAATAGGCAACCTGTATTGTCTGTATATCTCGATAGGAAAACTTTGATCTTCTCTGCGTTTGTGAATGGAGAACCTGATTTTTCTCTCATTTCGCAAGGAAACACGTTGTTTCTTGGTTGTTTGATCAGGAAACCTCTGCATTACAATGCTCACGTGGCGGGTTTGGGAAAGATTCGTTCGTTTGCTACGCAAGCTCTCTTTTTGGCGTGTTTAATACTTCAATTCCCTAAACCCCAAACCCTAACCCTAAACCCTAAACCCTAAACCGTGAACCCTAATCCCTAATCCCTAAACCCTGAACCCTAAACCCGAAACCCTAAACCCTAAATCACCCGGCCTTCGACGAGCTCGCCGAAACGAAGCCAGAGCTTGCCAGTGAACGCATTGTGCTTGTGAGGCGCGATCCTGGACCGTGCGGAGGGAAGCCTAAACCCTAAACCCTAAACCCTCAACCCTGAGCTCTAAATCCGAGCTCAGAGTTGAAGGCTCAGGCGTATCTTTGTGTTCTCTTCTCGTGCTTTGTTGGCGTATCTTTGTCTTGTGTCTTGTGTTTTGTATGTTGTGATTTGGGTTTTGTGCTTTGGGTTTAGGGTTTAGGGTTTAGGGTTTGTTTAGGGTTTAGGGTTTATGGCACCACTGCTAATCATTGCGACGAGAATGCCCATCACAAATGGTATTAGGGGGGGCCCCCAAACCCTGGCGTCCAGGATTGAGTGTTTGGGGCCCGCAGCCCTCAAACCTTGTCCCAATGAACCACAAACCCCAAACTCTCGTACCTCAAATTCTCAAACCCTGAACCCCAGGCCCGAAACCGTCCGAAGATCTAAGCCCCGCAGGAGATGGGTGGTGCCCAGCGTCTCCGCCAGATGCGCCACGTTGTATTTTGAGCTTCCATGCAGCATGCGCAACCTCAAGGGCCCGGGCTGAGGTCGTTCAGGATTTAGGGGTTCTTGGGGGGCGTAGGGTCTAGGGGTTTAGGGGTGAATGCCCTGGAGGCCGGGAGGTTGAGTTGGGGTCTAGGGGTTTCGGGGTTTACGGGTTTAAGGGGTTTAGGGGCTTAGGGGGTTCAGGGTTTAAGGGGTTTAGGGGTTTAGGGGGTTTAGGAGTTTAGGGGTTTACGGGTTTAAGGGGTTTAGGGGTTTAGGGGGTTTCGGGAGTTAGGGGCTTAGGGGCTTAGGGGGTTCAGGGTTTAGGGGGTTTAGGGGGTTTAGGGGGTGTAGGGGGTTTAGG